GCCGACCGCGGGCGCGGGGGGGCGGGGGGGGGGGGGGTGGTCAAGGGAAAAAAATAATCTATACCTGGCAGTCTGTCATCCTTCTGCATAAAACATCACTCATACTCCTGACCAGTCATCCTCAACATTTAACTGACAAAGCTTTTGTGAACAATTAACTAACACAACTAAAAGGATTTGTAACAGCGAGACTGCACACATCACAAAGCATTGATATTTTTTATCTTTCCTCAATTTAGTTCTTGTATGTAAATTCCTCAGCCAGTATCAACCATATCAGAATAAAGACCAATAAACATGGCTCCATTCTTAACTCTACCTGAGTTGGTGGGCCCGCCGGTAGTAGTAGAGACAGTAAAATGGCATTTTGAGGATTTCATAGGTTTGTCCTAAGCCATACCATGCTCTGTAGTCCCTTTTGTTCACCTCTATTGCATGCCTGTCAAAGAAAAGGAGATGAAATAGACAGAAATTAAGAATCAAAATCAAGTCCAGCAAAACACTATGAAAAAATAGAAGATATTTCAGAAGCAAACACCATTTTGTGCATGTACATGAGCAGTACCTATAAGCCTGGATAGCTGCAGATGTGTTCTTCATTTCCATATACTCATGTCCCATAAGTGTCCAGGCTCCTAGATAACGAGCATTCAGTTTCAACGCTCTCTGGAAATAGAGTGCTGCTTTTTCATGTTGGGAACGCAAGCTGTAATAATTTCCTAAAGTAAAATCATAATATTTAAATAAATTTTAAAAACCCATAACCAACCAACCAACAAAAGAAGCCAACAGCAACAGAGAAACAGAAAAAAGGATGTAATGCATATTACCTACTACCTCCTAACAAAATATGAAGAGTCCTAATAAAGACAGAACTGATTCAAACCTCAAAAGACCTAATTGCACTCTGTTCGCCAGTGTCCTGCTCAGTCCTTTCCAAGCTGTAACAATCAATTTATGATTCCATCCTGTTGGAATGTCATGATCTAACAAATTAATTTCCTGCTCCTGACACACAATTATTTCCATTGGAGTTTGAAGACTATAACGGGATTTTCAGGTACATGGGTCTCCTTTCTGCCCTAGTAATATTACAGCAGCATTCATAGAGAAATGAGGTACTGTGTCATTTAGTCTGCTTTTCAGGCTCCACATTCACCAAATGGTGATTTTGGTTACCTTGCTGGCTGATCACTTCCACAAGTGCTTCCAAGATTCCCTTACACAGACTACAGACAACAAAATAAGATGTAAAAATAACATGTGAAAGAACTGGCTCTCACCGATTACACAGCAGGTCTCAACACGGTACTTGTCTATCTCACAGAGATTATGAGCCAAGTAGCTCAACTCAGGCTTCATGCTCTAGTGAAACAAAAGATTAAAGTGATGAGAGAGTACATTATGTTTTGAAAGAAAACCTAATAAATTGACAATGCATACAGTGCATCTCTTCCATGGAGTCAGGAAGCAGAAAACCTGTATTCAGAGAGGCCAGACAGCACCAGCTGCTTCGCCAGTGTTTAACACACCTCCAACAAACACCATCACTATGGACAGGCCACAGGAAAAGTGCTTACCCTTACATAGAGCAAGTTGGAGAAAGTGTCCATGTTTTCTATCCTGTAAGGATCTTGTTTCCTCAGCTCATTGAAGATGGATAAAGCTTTGTCAATATCTGAAGAAAGACCAGCATATGGGACACCAACAACTATAAATGACAAGTTGGCATTAAGAGGGTCATTCCTACTTAGTGTCACTGACCTCTTATATTGTGGTAAGCAACTGCAATCTGAGAGATGATATAAGTGCTTTTGGAAAATCCTGCATCAATGAGACTCTGATACTTCTGCAGAGCTTCCTCTATCAGCTGCAGCTCTGTATAAATGTGTGCAAGAAAGAACTCTTTCATCCATGTATCTGGCAAGGACAGGAACTTCAACTAGCAAGAATCAAAGAGAAGAAGGAAGAGATGACAATCAGAAGTATTATACAAGCTACACATGGCAAAGAATCCATAATCTTCCCTCCCATGATTTAGAAGATGGTTCTGAGGCAGGAGGCTTTCAGTCACTTTCTTAAACCCATTTGGTCAATGAGGAAGAAATTGTCTTCAAATATGACATCACCTGGCTCTTGCTTCAGCCATTGAATTCAAAAGTCCTTTGAAAGACTGCACTTTCTTCCTATGTTTGAACATCATTATCTTAACACTAATTTCAATGAATTAAGTGAGCAGACTCAAAATTATATAATAAAAAATGCACTTCCCTTTTTCCACAAATTGGTAATACTCTCTTCTGCATCACTTTTTTAAATGATGGGGTTTTTTTAAAAGTACTGTTTTGAATACTTCACCAGCCAGAATTTACTGACAAATTAAAGGAGTGAACTCCAATTCCATGCAGAAAGAGAAAAAAATCCATTTTGGTTGTATATCTGAAGTTTGTTTCTTTGATACAATTCACCTCATATGTGGCTTTGTACATTATTATTTCAGTTTTGAAAGCAGTGATTCTATATATCCTTTCAAGCTATCAAAAGTGCTCAATAACTGAGGAATTTGAACCAGATTAAGGAAAAAAAAAAAGGGGGGAAGTCTCTTAGGAGGATCTACTTCATGTGACAAGGTGATAACCACAGTGACAACTCCTTCCAAATACACAAATCAGGAATTTCTTAAACTACTTTGTCGGTGAATAATAAGAAATTAGCCCTGCCTGTATAAAGATTCTCAGGCTACAGCATGGCAAGCAATTGAAGGTAAAGAGGATTTAACAGTATAATTTACAGTCACGGATTGCCTTGCATGACAGTGTCTTACAGAATGAAGCAATGGGCAACATCAATCTTGTGACAACAGAAACACTGGTCACTGAATCAGGCCAAACTCTTGAGATTTGTTACCACATCTTGATATTTACAAAGTTTTACCATCTCTTTATCTGTAATCAAGTTGCAAAGTTCCAGCCAGGCTCCCCAATGCAAAGGCAGTGCATGAGCAGCTTCAACAAACACATCTATTGCTTCTTTCACCAGGTCCAGTTTCCGCAGCACAACACCATATCTGTAAAAAAAAAGTATCAGGTTGACAAGAACCATTAAATTCTGCATATCCACACAAATGTATAAGAAATACATGCACTTACAGATAAAGGCCAAATCCATCCAGTTCCTGTGCCTTGTGTTTCTTGCTGAGCTCAACTCTCAATTCTCGTAGAGCTTCATTTTTCACCTGTCCTTTTTCCAAAGGTCCTACATGAAGAGAAAGTCACACAGCTAGCTTTCAATAAGGAGTCTCACCATAGCAGTGCAAAGTCTAGGTCACATTCAGAATTATTACTGACATGACATGAAGGGTTCCCAGTCTGTGTTTATTTTCCTCATTTTAAAGAAAATTGCTTAGTCTGATCACCCAGTTTAAAAGAAGACCTAACAGATGAAAATCTGTAACCTGTAACTAAGCAAATGAATCAAAAGACAATGAAAGAAATCGCATAACAACACACTATTATCCAAAAAATTGAAGGGAAAGCTATAGACCCAAGAGGAGTTACATGAAGAGCCAACAGCAAAAGCTTCATTATCTCATCATGTGTTTCTTGACACCAGAGACTTACCCAAACTATCAACTGTCTCATCATCCTTCTTCTTTTCCCCTGACTGTGGAAAAGAAAGGAAATCCAAGATTACATTACAATAATATATTTCCTATGTTTGCTGCAGCACTTGCAGCAGTGTGTAAACTGAGTCTTCAAAGACAGCACAGTTCTGAAAAGAACAGCCCTATCTTTCTTTACCCCAACAAAGAATTTGGACTTCAAGGTGGTCATTAGGAACAGAAAAAGCAAAAAAATACGATATGCCAGGCAGAGGTAGGAGGCAGAGTTCAGCCTTACCAGGTATCTGGAGTACATGTACAAGAAGTAAGCTTTCTGGCTTTTGCAGCCCTGTAAAAAGTAGGCAGCCCTGTCATATTCCTTGAGATCGAAGTAAGACTTGGCTAATGTGTAGGCATCCAGATCACGAGCATCCTCCTGCAGGGACACACAGAAGTTTTAAGACCCGAGAAGTTCTGACATACTTCAGGAAAATCATGGTTACAAACACAGAAATAAAATTGCTACAAAAGCTAAAAAAGTAGTTTATCCATCTTTATAGATGGTTTCAGTACTATCAGAAAAGTTCCTCCACTCCCACACATGATCTGATTCTACAGTTCTCAAATAACGAATACAGACTATTTACGAGCATTTAAAACAAGCTGCCAGAAGGCAAGACTTAGCTCTTCAATTAGTATGAAGGACCATAAACAAGAAACCTGCTCAGGAATTCCATATAAAAAAATATTAATCTGTTAGAGATCAATATGAAAAGAATACTTCCTTGGCAGTTATACCTTGAAATGCATTTATGACACGTAACACTTCTATAATACACCAGCACAGGCACATACCTATGAGTTCTACTGTGTTCCTACAGAGGTGGGGATGGAGACACAACTTGTCTCTCTCTTGTGTCCTAACAAGCACAAGTTTAATGGCAAAACATAACTTGTATTAAAATAAATTTTCACCTTAATAAAGAGAAATAAAAATAAAGTAGCATGCGTGTGATCTCAAATTTGGCTTACAGAGTGCCTCACTTAAGACACAGCAACTGATAATGCTTTCATCTGGCAAAGCACATTTAGCTCTATCGCCCCGTTGAACACGCTATGGAAAGGATGTTCCCAGCATTATGGCAGGATTGGAGCTCAGCACAGACTCCCACCCATGGGATTTGGAAGACTGCAATCACGTACTTTCCTCCACAGTTAAAATTAAATAGCCCACCCCAAGAGCTGCAGCACCTTCTGCCAGAGCTCACAGCCACTTTCCCCCAAGCACAGCCTGGGCCCATACCTCGGTGAGCACAGGGGGAGGCGGCAGCTCACTCAGCGGCAGTGGATCCAGGGCGAATGCAAGTTCAGCAGCCCTGAGGGAAAATCAACATTAGAAGCACTGAATCATCAAGGTTCACTGTAAGATCATCAAGTCCAACCGTCAGCCCAGCACCACCAATGTAATCCCTAAACCACATAACCTAGTGCCAGATGTAGACACCTCTTAAGCACCTTCAAGGACTGTGACTCCACCACCTCCCTGGGAAATCTATTCCAATGCCTGAGAACCTGGACAATGAAAAAAAAGTTTTCCAATCTCTTACTGAATCTCCCCTATCTCAACTAAAGACCATTTCCTCTGGTCTCTTTCTTGCAGGCATGACAGAAGAGACTGGCTCCCACCTCAGTGCAACCTCTTCTCAGGGAGTTGTAGAAAATGATGAGGTACCCGCGAGCCTCCTCTTCTCGAGACTAAACAAACCTAGCTCCGTCCCACCCTCCCTCCCGGCACAGAACACGTTAGCCCGGGGTCCGCCGAGCTGGGGCCCGGCCAGCTGTGCCCAGCCCCGCTCACCACTTCCCGCTGTGCTGCAGCCCGCGCTCGCGGCTCCGCTCCGCCACGCTCAGCAGCTGCTTCTTGATCTCCCGCAGATCCGAGAAGTCGCCACCGCCCGCCACCGCCACCATTGCCGCCGCCGCCATCGCCTCAGCCCGGCCAATCACAGCCCCGTCTGCCAGTCCAGCCAATCACAGCACCGCACACTGCGTGCCCGCCCACCGGCCCGGCCAATCACAGCTCCATCAGCCAGTCTGCCCAATCACTGCCGCGTACACTGCGTGCCCGCTCCCCCGCCCCTATAGGGAGCCGTCTCCTTGGGCTGGTGCGAGAGGTCTCGCGCCAATCCCGGGCGCGCCCCCGAGCCGCGCTGTCTGATTGGCCGCTTGTGAAGGGCGCGCGCTCCCGCGGGGGGCTCAGGCTCAGGGAGTCGGCGCCGGTGGCGGTGAGGGGTCGGGCCCGACACCGAGAAACACCAGGCTTCCTAATTTCTCGTTTAATTCTTAGCTGACAGGGGAAATACTCCTCACGTGCCACCCTGCTCTCAGCTTCTAGTTGTCAAGATCAGTTGATTGTTTCTTAAGGAGGTATTTCAATTTACCTGTGTACTGGTAATACCTCCTCATTTAGTATAATTTCAAATTTTTTACTCACATGCTGCTACTAAAAATCCTGTACTAAAAATCACAATTTAAAAACAGTAAGTAGAATAAATTGGTTCAATACAGATCATACAATCAATACAAAAATTTGTTATAAATGCATGTTATTGGCTTTTTGCAAGCATTAAAACGGTATATTTAGTGCTGGAAAACTTGGCTGTACTAATACAGTTTCTTTTGTTTCTGTTATTGATAAAGCTTAGAAATAGTGGTGTAATACATATATATATATATATATATATATATATATATATATTTTAGGCCATAGCATGGTATTAAAATAAAGATTGCTTTTGTTCATAGAACCCAGAGACTGAAAAGATAGTCAGAAACTCCCCCTGCGTTCTTAGATTATCTTATCCAGATGAAGACAGCAGTGGCAAGAACTCCAAGGGAGGAATTTACTGAACCTCTGATCGGGGAGTGTGACACACAGCGGAGCCAAGAAGATTATCTACAGGGGATGGGGGGAGTTGAAGCTAAACAAAGGGACATCTAAAACTTAAGAGGATATTCGATATAATGTTTGAATCATGTATAAGAATTTATGACTCTGTAATAGATTTGTGTTTTTAAGGGACAATCCTTTGTTGGTAAGGTATGCGCTTGGCTGAATGCTGAGGCACCCAGCCGTATTTGCTCATTTTGTTTTATTTCTATCTCCTAATTGTATTTTTATTAAACTTTTTAGATTTTATATTAAAAAGATGTGAACCTCGTTTTTCACAAATTGAAGTACTTGTTTTGGGATGGTTGTGCTCCACAGTTTTTTAAGCTTTTCCGGAAAAGTAACAGTATACCTGTGGGCTCAACCTAGGGTCAGAATTGTCAACTTTAATTATGGCTTTTAAATCAGAAGTGAAGAAAGAATAGTATGAAATTTCATTTTGCATCTCATTTGCAAGTTACACTTTTTGATTTTTTTCTTCTTCTGATGGTAAGGGCAATAAATATTCTGTAGCATGAAAGTGTCCTTCATAATCACTTTGTTGGGGGTTAGGTGTCCTTCCTTTAGTTCTGGCTCACCTGTGGAATTTTTACCCATTAGTTGCAGAGAAAACCTGATTGCTGGTACTTAGTGAGTGCTTGAGAAACACGAAAAGTTCAGCTGGGCCCGGGGGGGGCAGGGGAGCAGAAAAAAGGGAGAACGAGGTGGGGGCAGCTGGGGGCTGGCTGGTTTCTTCAGCTTCAGAGGAGACTTTGCTGGGAGCTGTTGCTGCGGAGAGAAGGGAATTCGCCATCACCCAGACAGAGCTACTGTTTCTTCTTCTCCTTCTTCCCTCTTCATTGGTGGCCTCACACCCCCTGTCCTGCCGGGACATGTGGCAATGCCAGGCACCGCCTCGGAGCTGCTGTTCTACCTCAGCCACCAGCCCAGGATCTCAGCTCATCCCTGCTGTTCCACCTCAGCCACCGGCCCAGGATCTCAGCTCATCCCTGCTGTTCCAGCTGAGTGTTCCTCAGAGCCCTGCAGGAGCACCGGGACTGCCCGAGGGGGTTTGTGAAACAAAGCCTCTCCTCCATCCCTTCCCGTCTCAGCCGAGAAGGCTGTCACGGGGCCCCTGGTTCTGTTTTCTTGTTAATGCTGTAGTTATTGTTGTGTTTTTGCCTTGTTATAAATACTAGTAAAGAACTGTTATTCCTATCCCCGGATCTCTGCCTGAGAGTACCTTGATTTCGAAATTATAATAATTCGGAGAGAGAAGGAGTCCACGTTTTCATTCCAAGGGAGGCTCCTGCCCTCCCTAGCAGACGCCTGTCTTCTAAACTGAGACACTTTTGTTGCAGAAAGGATTTGAACCAGAGGACTCAGTGTTTGAATTGGCAGCAAGTTCACTGGTGATTAAAGGAGTGTCACTGCTGAGCATGGTGTCATTGTACTTGATCTGCTATTCTCTAAGAAAAGATCTTTGGTTTTTTGATGAGCTAATTACTGAATGTCACTAATTCTTACACTGACTCCAGTAAAGAGTCTAAGGCTACCATTTGCCTTCACTTTATTGATGAGTTTCAATGTTGTGTTGATCAGGAACTATTTCATCTGGAGCCACCTGCCGAAATTAAGGTTGTTCTACAAAGGTTTACAGAGATAGGAAATGCCCAGTTTTTTGTTAAAGTGGGAAATGATCAGTTATAGTCTTCCATGGCCTTTCAAATAGACAAAGTGAATTAGACCATTATTTGAAGTATAATTTTAGCGTTACGTGGGTTTTTTCCTTCTCTTAATTTTGGCCAGATGTGTTGCAAGTTCAGTTGTGCCTTTGACAGAAAATACTTCTATTACTCTCCAGACCACATATCCAAAATGTAAAAACTTCTTTGTTATTGTTGTTACTACACAGATGGATCTAGTTAACACAATGCCTGACTCATACCTCATTCTCACTCTCTTTGCCCCATCCCAAAACACATGTGAAAAGGGCCTCAGAATTATTTTTTTTTCTGATGATAAATTTTTGTTGTACTTACCATCTCTTTTATGTTCTCCATATGTGGGGATCAGCTGTTAGTGTTCTATGCTCCTAAACGTTGTATTTGATATTTGTTTGATAATTACATCGGTCCTTTAGTTGGACTCAACGATCTTAGAACTTTCATCCAACCTAAATGATTCTGTGATTCTCTGCTGGTTTTAATTTAAGGATGCTCGGTTTTTATGTGAATACAAAGAGTGATATTTAAAGAAATTTGTATGTGTGTGTGAGGTCGAAGTGAGATTTCAATATGAAATATAGAACCTGGTGCAAAAATACACAAAGTGCTGCTTGTCTTCTTGCTGAAATCTAGTCAAAATACCCTTTGTGTCACGTTCCTGGTGTGTGAGCCCTGAGCAGCTGTGATCCAGCTGTTCATAAGACTGCTCCTCTCGAAGAACAGCGTTTCTGGCAGCTGTGACATACTGAGCTGTTCAGTAAGAAAACATATTTAATTTTGGTACCTAACCAGACGGATTTGAGTCCCTGGAGCAGTTCATCAGCTGCCGGAATCAGTATTTGTGGTTCCAGCTGCTCAGCAGGAGATGGCGCTTTGCGCTCTCGAAGCAGAAAGGAGGTGAAAGAAAAGCTCTTGACGGCTGAGTTCAATAATTCAATTGCTTAAGACTTGCTTCATAATGAGAACTCGTAATTCTTCCTGACATTCCATTCTGTAATAGATGGGTCTGAACTAGCTTTTGGAGCCAGGAGACTAATTAAATCCTCTGTGCGTGAAAACAGATAGTATCTTGGGGAAATACTAATTAACTGAGCAGTACTAACTGGGGGCTCTAGGAAGAGAGGAACTTGTGCCCCATGTTATTGCACAGCTACCTGGACGAGGTTGTCTCTTAGTCCCTCATGTTGACAAAAACAAGGAAGGTCGGTGATGGAAGGGTGGGAATTGTGTCCATCATACCAATGGGTTGTGTAGGTACTTTAAAAGGAAATTCTTTCTTTTAAAGTTGAGATCTTCAGATGTACAGTTGATGCTTGATGAAATCCTATGTAAGTGGTCTTTACCAAGTGAAGTGTCTTGCCAATACAGTTAGTTTCATCTGTTGACAGAGAATAATATAATATCTTCTTTATTACAATGTCGTAAAACTCTGCTAACTTTTTAAAAGATCAGCTATGATTACAGTTCCCTGAATAAATTTACACTGAGAAGTCTGATGTGATAAGAACATCTTTTCTACTATTGGTTCTATTCTCCATTTAGCATAGTTAATGCAACTCCCACTTTTGCTTTTTGTAGTCTGCTGGAACATCATTAATGTTAAAACTTGGAAACCATGTGACCCTAAAGTATGAGGGAAACCATTTATACTTTATTTAAATTGAGACGAAGGAATAAATTCACACCAACTGGGGATAGTTTCAAAAGGTAGAAGACCTGAATTCCAGGAAATCTGCCTATGATTTCAACAGCATTTCATACAGCATTATGACATCAGAGTAGGCTATTGTGTAGTCAGTAATGTTGTTTTCCCTCTCTTTCTCTCTTGTTCAAATCTCAGTTGTTTTCTTGGGAGGTTAATTGAGATGAAGTGACATAAAATGCCTCTGAGGGCCATGGACTAATGCATGGACTAATGCAGCAAAAGTGTTATTGTGCCTGAATCACTTCTCCATATTTGAAAAATTCATTGACTCATGCCATATATTTTCTAGTTTTGATTAGTTAGAGATTTTCTCTAGTTAGAGATTTGATTTAATTTCATTTGATTTGATTTAATCAATGAGCTTGGAAGTAGCAGTTAGGAGTGCATATCTAGCCCATATGCTCTGAGAAAACCAGTATGCACCATTTTCTTAGCATATTGCCCACTAAGACCTCTGGATATCACAGTGAGTTTGTAAAGAATCATGCAGATACTTAATATGCTGTTATTCAAGAACCTTCATATTCTTGCTAAACTGCAGTTCCCTATTTAATGGAGCATGAACTTGCTCCCTTTTCAGGAGACCAATAATTTTGTTTTAACCAGTTGTCAAAATTACGATTAGGCTGAATTCCTAGTT